CCGAGCACCAACGCTGCATTATAATGACCAGCCGGACACAATGTAGCGGTTCCGACGTTACCTTTCATCCAGTCCAGAACTTGCTTTGGTGTCCATTTACTTATAGGTTCCATAACCAGAGCCATGGTGTCACAGTCTCTCCGTGATGAACGGCGCAGGGCTCGATGCGGGCGACATACACCGAGCTGACAGTCACATCTGGAATGACTCGGCGGCGGATGGACGCGAGGAAAAGGGATATGTTGCCAGATTTATCCCCTCTATCAGTGCATGGCTGCCTGCAGAAACGCTCAACGGGATGCGGTGGTGCAATCCACACGCACACACAGGAACACGCACGCACGCTTTCTCCCCCCCTTCTCCCTCTCTCTCTCTCTCTCTCTCTCCAGTGCCTTCCCGCCAGCTCTGCGAGAAGTGGATTCGGCAGGAGCTGGGAGATGGAGCGACCCCTCCCCTCTTCTCTCCTCTCCTCTCCTTCTCATCTCCTCCCGCCCTCCTCGGAGCTGCTGCAGCATCACAAGGGTCACCACTCATAATACAGACCAGGGAATGGTGCAGCGCACACCGTATAGGGAGGATCTCTCTTTTATGTTTAACTCACTACACACGCGCGCGCATATACACACACAGATACTAAAGGGAAATAAAAATGCATTTTTTTTTTTTCCTTTCTCTTAATTCATGATTTCAACTTCGCCTCTGAACTGGCGTCTCCACAGTTCCACGCTGTTTGTAGGGAAGAAGGAAATAAGTTCACTTTCTGCGGGTGACAAAATCAAGCACCACTTGGCTGCTGCTCCTGCAAAGAGCTTAACGGAGGGGAACAGCGACCCCTGCTGCGCACCTGGAGCACAGGTGACGTCATTGATTAAAACAGGCACCCTCCCTCCCTTTACATCTTGCAACACACGTGCACACTCTAGAGTTCCATTTAAAATGTTTGGGAGGGGGGGACGGGGGGGGGGCACATTAAGTGAGGTCACACAAACGAAGTGGTCCCTTTGTCTTAGAGTTAAACAAAAAAACAAGGAACGGCATTTAAAAAAAAAAAAGACCTGCTGGTCATTTATACACGTTACGACACAATGATCGTGAAAGATTAAAAGTGTTAGAGGACACTGTGTACTAACCTTACTGTCATTCAAAATCAGAGGAACACAAAGCAGGGATTCAGTGAAAAGACTCCACTTCAAAGTCAAATACAATAAAAGTCAGAATTATGTGACAGAATTCTGACTTTGATCCGACAATTCTAACTTTAGGCACAGGAAATAACGTGAAAGGAGTTTTTGTTTACACAGATAATGAATCTATAAAGCTGCAGACTACAAAGGAACAGTATGAAAAGCAAGGTCAGTGAAAATGTTATATATGTATCAATTGATTGTTATTTCAATTGTTGCAAAGGGGTAAATGTTAGTGAAGAACTTTGAGTTTCAAAGGACGGTGTAGGATTCAGCAACATCTGCTAACAAAGTTGCACGTTGTGGTCAATCATCAGTCGACCCTGTATTTGCTTTCAGGCAAATAAGTGAACGCACTGTGTTTGATTCACGCCATCTCTTTGATCATTCACACGATCATCAATAGTATGAATCATTTATCAACACGGTAAATGATTCATACTGTGTAAACATGGCCAGTGTACCTTTGTAAAAAACAACCAATTTGTGTCCTGCATTTTAAAAATGTTTTTCTTCACAGGTGATAAACACAAATTTTCATGTGAATATTTTTTTTCTGCAAAATGTAACAGACCACTTCAAAGTCAAATACAATAAAAGTCTGAATTATGTGACAAAATTCTGACTTTGATCCGACAATTCTAACTTTAGGCACAGGAAATAACGTGAAAGGAGTTTTTGTTTACACAGATAATGAATCTATAAAGCTGCAGACTACAAAGGAACAGTATGAAAAGCAAGGTCAGTGAAAATGTTATATATGTATCAATTGATTGTTATTTCAATTGTTGCAAAGGGGTAAATGTTAGTGAAGAACTTTGAGTTTCAAAGGACGGTGTAGGATTCAGCAACATCTGCTAACAAAGTTGCACGTTGTGGTCAATCATCAGTCGACCCTGTATTTGCTTTCAGGCAAATAAGTGAACGCACTGTGTTTGATTCACGCCATCTCTTTGATCATTCACACGATCATCAATAGTATGAATCATTTATCAACACGGTAAATGATTCATACTGTGTAAACATGGCCAGTGTACCTTTGTAAAAAACAACCAATTTGTGTCCTGCATTTTAAAAATGTTTTTCTTCACAGGTGATAAACACAAATTTTCATGTGAATATTTTTTTTCTGCAAAATGTAACAGAATATAATGAAATCACACACACAATCAAATAAATTTTTATATTTAAGGACACATTTTCTACCCTTTACCCAGTATCTTAATTACATAATAATTTATATAACTAATTTTAAATGATTTATATTCAAATGTGATCATAAAAATAATTATAAAATAATTTAAATGTTTTTTCAATTACCTGAAGTGAGCTATTTTATTAATATTAATAATAATAATAATATTTTTACTTGATTTTTAATGCATTTTTTTATGAGGATTTCACATTTTGACAGCAATGGTGAGTTAAGGGACCGTGTGTAAAATTGTGTTTATAGCAAAGATGTCCAAGTCCCGTGTACCAACAAACCTGTTATAATGTGTATATTACTGGGCAATTTAAATAATATCTGTTCACACATTCATTGTAACTTTTAACGTAAGAAAAATTACAAAACAAAATAAAAATCATTGTCAAAATAATTCAAATATTTCCTCAATGTTGAAGCTAGAAGTTTATTATGATTTGCTTGACCTTATATGTAAAAAACGTGTAATTCTGACAGTGTTTGTCTGACATTTTGAAAAACAAGGCAGGTGGTAATTCCACACACAACAACATGTTTTCACTGATTATATTCATGGCCTGGAAAATTACTGCTGACAGCCCTCAGTCAACACACACACACAGTGTGACCTCCTCCTTTTCCAGCAGCCCACTAAACAAAGTCACTGGTGGGCGGGACTACGGGGCTGTTTTCCCCACTTTCCGGGTGTCACAGCCATGATGCCGAGCTCTGATTGGCTCCTGTCTGCGCACACGTCACAATCATGATTAGAATTGATGATCGGACGCTCTGATTTCATTGTCTGGCATTGGGGACGGCTGAAGAAATCTGCTGAATTTGAACGTCCGTTGTGATTTTGACAACACCAATGGTAAGCAGGCAATCCGGTTCGGTTCCGACGTCCGTTTGCGCCGCGTCGGCTGTGTTTGTCTGCGCTCAGAGCCAGGCTGAGCACGGGTGACCACAGCCGTGGGTGAGAAATCAGAGATTTGGAGGAAAAGTTACGCCGTTGCCCTCCAGTAGGAAAGCTGTGCTAATGGAAGCTAACGCTGCTGCCGCCGCTGAGACATGGCCGCCCGGGCCTGCTGTGCTAACGCCAGCTCTCCGTGTGGCCATTGTGCTGATGCGTCTCTCTCTCCCTCTCTCTCTCTCTCCCCGGGTTTGTTTACTGTCTGGCTCCGCTGTCGTGCTTTTACGACAATGTGCTTCCTTTGCGCTAATCCCAGCTTTTCCCAGCTTGTTGCCTCGATGTCGGACATTTCTGACGTGAACGCATTTTGTTGGCTATTTCTCTCCTTGTAAAGCTGCTGACTGCGGACATGCGCAGACAGCGTGTCAAAATAAAGGGGCTCCCAAACAAGTGCTCACAGAGCAATCGAACACGTCACTCTTATACGGGTATTAAACCGATGACATAATTTACTTCAAACTTATTTTTATTTATTTCTCCACTTGGGATCTGTTTCTCGTGTGGTTTCTACGTTTCTTCCCTCTGTTTACAAAAACATTAATGCACATTAACGTGTGTTTTGTACACGTTAATGTGCGTATTTTTTATAAATTACTGTTATTTAAAAGTAATGTACTGCATTCAAATCTATCCCGAAAAAAGTAATTATTTTATTGCTGTATTACAATATCTGTATTTACACATTATTTTGAAGGAGACAAATGTTGGGATCGGTTTTTCATGCCACGTGTTTACCAAACGTACTGTTTATTTTATGACAGTAACTGAATGTGTATATAACCTTAACCTAATCACTGTTATAACTATTTTATTTTGTGTTATTTTGTTTGTTGATACACTCTTTATAGATATCTTTGCTTCGTCAAAGTGGTTTTGATGACTTTGAAGATTGTTCGAATCCCTTCACTGTAAATTTTTCTATTTTTGTTTACCTTGTTCCCTGTTGTTTTGCTGTCTCTCAGGCCTCGTGTCCCTCCGTTTCCTCCTGATTTGAACCTGCGTGCCAGAAACACAGAAACAAGATGACTCCGGTCAGACATGCGCTAACTTAGAGGAGTATGGAGGTTTTGCTGTGAACTGCATGGCAACTCCATTCCCTTCCAGTAGCAGAATGGATGCATGGTCACAACGTCGAGGCCTGCAGGCTGTGAGTATAGAAGCAACTGTTTTAGAGAAAGAAAGGCAACTTTTTTTTTTTTTTTTTTAATTTAGTTTTCCTAAGTTACATGGCTGATAAATGATTAACATGTTTGATCTGATTCATCCCATACAGGACAACTGTTGATTAGACACAGTTAATCAGGATTAATCACTGTACTTAATCATTAACAATCATGATTAATCTAAAACAGGGGTCACTCTTTGGCCCTCTTGTTGACTAGTTATATTTTAAGAACATAGCCTGCAGGCTAACCTATACCTAAATACAACCCAAAACAGAGACAAATAACAACAGGTAGAGGTCAGTGTTTCTCACCGTTTTTTATCTGTGACTAATCCAAATGATGGAATTATTAATCTGAAATAAATGTTCATAAAAATGTCCAACAGTCTGAGTGAAAATGTCTCTGTAGAGTTGGTGTAGTAACCAACTCTTCCTGTAGTAACGCTGACACATTTGCCATCCATCTACTGCAATCTTCTTTTTTTTTTAATTCATTTCCTCAGATGAACCTGCGCTCAGTGTTCACACCTGAACAGCAGAGGATTCTCGAACGTTACTACGATAATGGGATGACCAATCAGAGCAAGGCCTGCTTCCAGCTGATACTCCAATGTGCTCAGGAGGCCAAACTGGACTTCAGCGTGGTTAGGGTAGGCCCATGAAAATGTGCTTGTGTGTTTGATTTGTGTCAATCGTTTGCAATTTTTTATTTCTCAGTAACAGTTTTCTAACGCTGGGGTAAATTATTTAGGCCATGAGTCTGAGATTTTCATCTGGAGAGGGGACACACCTTACGACTTTTACAGAACGATCCAGAGCTAATTTCTCTTTTGTCCCTCCAGACATGGGTCGGCAATAAAAGGCGTAAGCTTGCATCCAGGGTAGACCAGAATGGAGGTGTCACTCACTCCCTCGTCAGTCACGGACTTGCTGGGGGACTACTCACCAATCACACATTAGCGGGAGGCGCTCTGGCCAATCATAGCATGGCGACAGGGGCACTGCTTTCTGCTGACATAGCTGCAGCACGGAACATCCCCAATCGAGTGCACCTTCTGCCTCCATCATCATCTTTCCCATCTTTTTCCACCTCATCCTCCTCTCTTTCCTCCTCGTCTTCCATGAACAGTATAAGCAACAACAACCACAACAACAACAATGACGTCATATTGACCGGAATTTACTCTTTAAACTCTGCCAGTCGGCCTCAACCAAAACCTTTGGTGCCACCATCTCAGTCTGACCCAGACCTTAGTGTCCACACACACTCATCCCTGATCAGCCAAGTCCTGCAGGGTAGGGGCAGCTCCACCTCCTCACCCTTACACTCAAAGCTGGTGTCCATCTCTCAGAATCTCCCATCCCCCACAAATGCCTCAGGGCCCTCAGGCTACACCACAGTCAGAAAGGGAAGTCTACCTATGTCAGAAGCAGGGGCCATTGCAGGAACAGGGGTCGCCCCACAGACCTGGTCTAGGCAGTATGGTACGGCACAGACACACCGTGAGGCTCAACCTCAGCCCAGACCTCACTCCAATCCTGGATCTCAACCAGTCGTTCCCCAAAAAGCACACGTCTCCCTCCCCATCCAGAACGCCGCTCCTCCCTCTGATCAGACGCCACGTATCCAGCAGGTCTTCACTTTGTCAGAAAAGGAGGAGTCACAACGACTGAGACCTGGAGCAGTCACTTCTCAGAAAGGTCAGGAGTGTCAGAGACGTGCGACGCCTCCTTTGGACACTAGTCATAACTTTTCAATCGCCATGGAGACTGGAGATGAGGCAGATGAGTGGCAGAGGGAGGAGGAACTGGCCAACATGGCCACTCGAACACAGATTTACAGGGAGCAGAAATCACACAGCCCGACGGAGGCTGAGGGCTCTGCGGTGAGAGGAGGCCACGCGACTACTTCCAGACCTGCACTGCTTCACGGCAGCACAACTCTTCAGGGCAGCTACTCCGATACAGAACAGACCTCACTCATGGGGGACTGCAGCTCACAGGTGGGTGGGCGGACTGTTTATATTTGTTGTTCATACAAAAAAACTCAATTGAGATTAATGCAAAGTTAAACAACTGTGTCATGTGTTCATGTACAGACTTCAGTCAGTATGTCTGCAGCCCCCTGGCTTATTAGCAACTCCAGAAAAAGAACAGTAAGTCCTTTCGCTTTCATACAGGAAAACATTAACACACCCTAATCATAACCAAATGCTTCCTGACAAATTCTCCCTGATATTTTATCTAGATTACTTTATCCACTGATCAGACTTTCTTCCTCATTAGTTAAATAATACATCATTGTCATTTAGTGAGATTACTTTATCCACTGATCAGACTTTGTTCCTCATTAGTTAAATAATACATCCTTGGATTTCGTCATTGTCATTTAGTCCCACATATATTGTATCCTGTATTGTTTGTTTGTCGTTTGGTGTGATTCTCTGTGTCTCACCTGCCTGTTTGCGGTGCATGTTTCCAGCTGCAGGATCGGACCCAGTTCAGTGACGCCGACATCTTTCAACTGAAGCGTTATTGGGACAGAGGGATGACCAGTTTGGGTTCAGTATGCAGGGAAAAGATCAATGCTGCAGCCAACCAACTCAGCGTAGACACTGAAATAGTCAAGGTAGGAACCTCTGGAACATTACGCAATACAAACAGAAGATGCACAACATACTGTACACAGATTTTGGTTTTGCAGCTGGCAGTTTCTGCTGTCAAAAAAAAAAAAGTAGATCTTTAAGTTTACGTAATATTTTTCGAACTAAAAAAAAGTCTGTTTGACCTCTAGGACTGCGTTGGGGTTTTAAAAAAAACTACAAGAAACTGTAACTTTTCTAGGTCAAAGAGAAGGTTTTTGTAACTTCCTTACAAAGTTGTGTAAAAGTCACAGAGATAAATTAGGGCCACGGCGGTGCTGATGAGCTAAATATAGTCTCCTAGTCCTGACGTGTACAGTAAAACCCACTGCCATCTCTGTTGCATCAGTACAGAAATCTGTGCCTACAGAGAAATAGTGGATTAACCTTTAAACCAACATAAAATCATTAACTATGAAAATCCTTTTTGTAAATATAGATAAGGTTTTCAGGTCAATAATTTGCTGCAGTCTGCCAGAAACTCAGAGATGTAGATGTACTAATAGCCTAGAGTGGAGTAAGAAAGGAAGTGATTTGGTAGTTATGGAAGTAACACCGTGTAATGGTTCAAAGCATAACGAACAATCAGCTACCTCTCGCTGAACTTGCAGACATGGGTCAGTAACAGACGAAGGAAATACCGTCTTATGGGTATTGAGATTCCACCTCCTCAGGGCGGTCCTGCTGTATTCACAACCATGTCCCCCGCTCATGACCCGTGCTCTATGACCCTGAGCCCTGATGGAGACCGGCTGAAATCTCCCGATCCTGCAGAAGACTTCAATGACGCTGAATCCACTAGCTTCTCTGAAGGTAAGGCCAAAGACACCGCAGGCTCAACTCCTTCACTCTGTGGTTAAAAAAAAAAAAGTATTTTTCTGAAGAGCATCTTTCTTCTCGTAGACGGGACCATCGACTCACAACACAGAGACGGAGAAGACACAACAACAGACGGGTCAAACACTGTGGCAGTGACCAATATTGTGGTACTTAAAATGATGCTAATGTGTATCAACTGTGACGAGTTTAAACACAACATCGATGCTACTGCAAGTCTCAGTCTTTCTGCTTGTCCACATTAGCTGTTAGCATCAAGTTTTTACTTAACTACATCACCCATGATTCAGTGTGGTTCTCTTCACACACCTTATTAAGTACTTATATTTATTATAGCAAATCTGTTGGAAGAGTTTTTAACAGTCATCAAGATTCAGCTAATTTTTAATATGATTATCATAGTAAATTACAGACAAACTTCTGATGTTTGTTTGACAGAATAAGTGAAATCCACTCAAAAAAGTACAATAAAGTACTGGGTTTTATCGAACTTTTTCAGCCCATGAGACGACTAAACCACGGACAACCTGATCGTATATTCTGGAACTATTTTAACTACGTGTACTACAAATGTGAATACTACAATTACACTACAAAAATGACTACATTGATTTTTTAACCATCATTAATTACTAACATATTGTTTGCCTTGAACTAAGTCTGTATAATACGGAGTGAGTCTCTTATCGCTCACCAAAGAAAAAAAAATCTAGAATTTTCTCCAAACTTCGGCGCAGGCGTTCAAGCCGACAATTAGCTTATGAGCTCGGTTGTCATTAACTCACCTGTTGTCGCGGCAGAACCACTCGAGGGCGACGTAGCTGTTGTTTCGGTGAGAGCTTTTAAATTATTTTATCTCTTTATTCCTTTATAAATAAACTCGTTAAAGCCAACATCCCGCCGTCTAACTTGACCGTGCTAATCTTTGACCGTGCTAATCTTTTTCAACATTAGTTCGTGGACGGATAGGTGACGTAAAAGGTACCCCGCGAAAGCAAGTAATCAATGTCGCAAAACAGCCGTAAAACGGGCCGCCTCGTTACCAACGCCACAAAACAACACTGAAATATGGTAAGAAAAAAAATCCGCATAAAATATTTTAGTGTTATTAAAAACTATAATAAATAGTTAAAGAACTGCTTTAATAATTTATACGATTTTTTTTTTAATATTTATTTGACCAATGAGCTTACAGACCACCAGGAGCGAATGAGGGCTACCCTTTTTGTAAAGGTGTTTTTCCAAGCTAATTAAAAAATGTATACATTTGTTTAGTAAACTCTCTCATGTTATTCTGTCGTATTTATGCTCTTTCAATAGAAAATTGAAGTAATTGGTGAAAATGAAGAAGATGAGGATAATGGTAACGACGTGGGTGAATTTGCTGCTTCAGACCTAGAGCAAATGCAGAACCTGTTGGAATTCAAGGTGAACACACAGACACACATTCACAAATCAATCATTACAAACCAGCTAAAAAAGATCAGATGTGAATGCCTAACATTTTGGTTCTTTTTTTCCAGCATGAAGAAGTGCAGTTCTTGGAGAACGAGCTAGAGAACCAAAAACAAAGATACCTTGAATTATTAAGCTTCACAAAGAGCTTGCTCAGTGCTGTGAGGAATAATGACCTGGAGAGACAGCAGGTACAGTCGCTGTCTTGTTTACACATCGGTGACTCTGTACCGCAGCTTTAGACTGAAACAAATCATTTGTTTGTTTATGTGTGTGTGTGTGTGTTTAGGAACTCATGGCCAGTCTACCTCATTCTACAGACCAGGACTGGGATGCAGTTTTTGAGAGAGGATCCCATTCTGACGCTGAGACGGCAGACCTAATCTACAACCAGGACCCTACCTACGCGGCCGACACGCACAGTGTAGAGCCTCGATTGGTGTCGGAAAAGGAAAACCTGCTGGTTAAAGTGAACAAAGACTGTTGGACTAATGAAGACACTGGGCCTCCTGCACCAGAGGAGCAAATGCAGGAATCCTACACACAATAAAAATGACTCATCCTTTGAACTTGAACTCTCATTCTCAGACACACACAGACACACATGCTAATTCATTCTTCTGTCCCAGTGCCTGTGGATTCAAGCTTCACGACGACTGTTGGTTAGAATGACAAAGGCCTTTTTTTTTACTGCATATCATCCTCCATGCTCTGGATCAGTCTGGAGACAACAATAAATGACCTCTAACTAATTTTGGTCTCTGCCTGTCTCATTTATCACTGAATGTACAAAACCACAGCCACTGCCAGTTGTCCTCGGTGCTGACTGATTTTTATAGATCACACTTGCAGACGAGAGAGCACTGTGTTCAGATAACGTTACAGGATCACCTTTTAGTTTGTCGACTCATGTTGCACCAGGCAGTGTTTCATTAAGGCCATGTAGGCAGGTTTACATTCAACACTCGACCTGCTTTATTCAGCCACAGTTGTATAGTTATATATTTAGAATACATCAGACTAGAGATACGCAAAATCTGCTGCTAAATGATCTGCAGCTTAATCCTTCCAGGCATCGTAGGGAGGCAGCACAACAGCATTGACAGTTGTTGTCCACTACAGGGCCATATCAAGAGATATACAACCATTCACACTAAAACTCACACCAGACACACACACACTGACACTGTGAGGCTTTTCAGTGCTTATAGTGTGAAAAGATTTTAATCAAAGATTGATGTCTGGGTCATTTGCATTTTAAATCAAATACTTTGCTGTCAATCTACAACAAGCAACATTTTTACCAGAATCTGCTTGGTATTACATCTAAACTTTTTCTTCCATATTGTACTGAAATATTTAGCAGGGCAGCCTGTGATCTATAAAGCTGGGAATTCAGAAGCTCGGCAAAGTGAATGCAGCCTGTGATCTATAAAGCTGGGAATTCGGAAGCTCGGCAGAGTGAATGCCAACAACGTCAGGAGCTCATCGCTTCCTGGGTCATTAAAACAACTGTAAACCTCCTGCGCCTGATAAGATAATGTGGAGAACATTTTGTACTAAAATGTTTCTTTCATTGATGCTATATTATAAAAAATGTATATATGAGTACCGAAAGGGCCGCATACCCCCTTTTGAGAACTCCAGGTCTATGGGCTATAGAAAGTGGATCAGCCTTAAGCTTCTTATATCCCCTTGCACCTGTGATGGACGGGTTGACGGAACGTGTCCCTCAGCAACGCTGACATCAGAGGTGTAAACTGACGGCAGAACCCTAGAGGACACCGTCGTTTTTGTTTCTTCGGTTTCACGCCCTGTCCGTTGTCGCAGGTAAACGTGCCGTCACCGGGCTGAGAGTATGTCATTCACTCTCAGGCCGTGTCGATGCAGCATCAAGCGCCCCCCACCTCCCCATCCTCCCCTCCTCCTCCTCCTCCCCATCTGCGAGATCCGCGGCTTTGCTCTGGACAGGGGAAATCCTTAACTGAATTGCGTCATTAATACGTCAATAAACTCTCATTCACTGACGATCAGGTACCACGGTAGCCGCCATATTCGCATCCATGGCAGAGTAGCGGTGCTCTCAGTGAATCTATGGTCCAGTCATCAGCATCAACTTTACCCCGCACGGTCCCGCAGTTCTCATTCTGATCCCGTCCCGCAGCCACGCAGCCGACCATCAAAGCAAGAGCCGGACTTTCACACAGGAAACGTGATGCAACGTGGAGCGGGGGTCTAGGTGGACTACGATGCCTTAGACTTAGAAAAAGAATCCTGGCACAAGATGGAGGTAAACAGCGTTAGTAGCGAGGTAGGTTGGTGAATGTTTATCGCCTTTCTCTTTGCTGGTAGTGTGTGCTGCAGTACAGGACTACATCTCTAGACTGGCGTCACGACCCGCACGGCACCCTGATGCATGCTAGCAGGCTAGCGGATGCTAACAGCTGCTTAGGTGTTTATTTTTGTTGCACCGCCCGGGTTTTATGCTCTCACAACTGACACTACGACTCTCTGCCCCACCGGTCCGTGTTGCAGACTGTCAACGGACCCTGCGTTCACTGACACAAAGGCAGAAGCTACGGGAGCCTATATTTACATCTGTACTGGGAGTTTGCTTTATAGCTAGCTTAGCATGTAAAACATTAGCATAAGGCTAGCCTGCTAGCCGACAGCTTTTAAACTTTAATTTTTGTGATCTTCGTTGTTTAACTGACACAGAGTGGATGTTTATTTATTCTTCATGGGTGATAGAACATCACTGTAGTGACAACAGTCAGGAGTTCGACTCTGTTTTGCGTTAATACGTGAAGACACCTGTACAATTTTAGGGCTGTCAGCATCATCAAGTATCCCGGGTGATGCTGTTGCTATCTCCGGACACCACATTCATTTATCCATCTAAATATATAGATATTTAAACAATTGAGATATTTTAAAACAATATTAATATTAAAAAAAACTTTTTTAAGACTTGTTCAATCCCGTTCCAACATGTCCGAGAAACGAAAAGCTCCTAAATTTCTAAAGTTCTTTGCTCTCTTTACATTTTCACACCAAACTGTCTTTCCGGCCTCCTTTATTATTGTGCTTTTACGAAAATCTATTGGATTTGTATATTTATTGTACTTCACATATTTAATATATATAATTATATTGTAGTTTTTGACCCATTTGTTGTTATTTCCATTCATAGAATGTCGTCAACATTTCCTCGATTTTCTATGAACTTCCACCACAGTTGGTGACCTTTGACACCACTGCCATAACTTTGTCATTACACGACCATCAAACATTTAATACTTATGAATATTATGAATGGCTTTTTAGGTCAGACAAAAAAAACAGGGAAAGAATTTGAGGATAAGACGTTGGCATTTTCTCTGTTGCTCAACTATCAACACACCAAGTCAGCATAAACCAGCAACCATATACCAGCTTACACCTAGTTAGCTCATGGTTTTGCGTGCTCTTTTAATCCACATCAGGTCAGTTTAGAGATGCTTTACCAAAGCCCCTGTTGTGCCCCTGTAATGTCGTTTGTTTTGATTGAGATTATTACTGTTAGGCATGTTTTGGATTTTGAAGGCCAAGTTTTGGCTAGCGTCGATGCTATCATATCATAGTAGTTAACTTGCTCAGAGAAACATTGTGTGGACCGGTCTTAGGTTAAAGCTAATTTTACAGTACTAAACGTTTTTGGTTTTTTTTTGATGGGCACTGCTATGTGGCAGCACAAGTGAATGTTAGTAGCTCCACCGACTGAGTGGGCTTGCATAGTGCTATGACTCATCCTCCTCTTCAGAGGGTTGATCGAATTCTACACACAAACACTGTACTGAATGCATTAAGCAGACGGAGCTTCATCTCTAAAGTGAAATGCAGAGACCTGGGTAATCTCGTCGCCGTCAGTCTATTGGCCGATGTGTTTGCGATGACTTTGAGAGCGTGTGGCTAATCAAATACCAAGAACGGATGCAGATCTGATAGAACAAATATGTCTTATACCTTAGGGCTCAATAGTACTTTTTTTCACCTCTATAACCTGGAAGTCCAAAAATAGTCAGACCAGTCCTGGTTTTCATTCCTGTGTACTCAGTGGTGGTGACAGCCTGAGCCAACTGCAGTGACCTACAGCCAGTCAGACATGTTGTTTTTGTGCTGGCTGGAGATTAACCTAGAATGCCAATGATGGGGAGATTTATAAGGGCAGGATGAGAGCTGGACAGCTGGACGAGCCTAAAGTACAGAGTCCTTACCGTTTGACAACCGATAGAGCTTGAGATGAGTAAGAGCACGGCGATTCATGTGACTCACTGATTTCATCTGTTGATCTTCCCATAATGCGTGTGGGTGTGCAGTAGCCACAGTCATAGTTTAGTTCAGTTTAGTACAAGCATTACAAATCTGATGCAGCTGGCTTCTCCGACTGAATGCGTTGCTCTGGTCACAGGTCAATGGACATCAAATCATGGATGAGCCTATGGAGGAGGGAGAGTCTATTTCACACTACGTAAGTAACGACTGCCATAAGTGGGCCTTCATCTGGAGTTCCACTCAGTTGTCTCATAACCCCGCTGTCTGTGTAGGATGAGGGGACTTATAAGGAGATTCCGATCACCCACCATGTGAAGGAAGGCTGTGAGAAAGCTGATCCATCTCAGTTTGAACTGCTCAAAGTCCTTGGCCAGGGCTCTTTTGGCAAGGTGAGCAAAACACGGCGGAGCGGTCCGGCTTCTCTGAAACATGCAGTAATGTTTTTGGATTTACAGACATGTCTCCTGCTCTTTTTAGGTATTTCTTGTGAGGAAGATTCTGGGTCCAGATGCCGGTCAGTTGTATGCAATGAAAGTTCTAAAAAAGGCATCTTTGAAAGGTAACTCCAAGCGACATCAATGACCTCTGTCGTCACCACACTGTTACATATTTCCTGTCTCCACTGATCTCGTTGGTAATGTTTGCCTCCGCAGTCAGAGACAGAGTTCGCACTAAGATGGAAAGAGACATTTTAGTGGAAGTTAATCATCCCTTCATAGTGAAGTTGCACTACGGTAAGTAAAACAGTTTTGTGGTTCTGTGGGCTGTATGTGGTGTATATCTGTCAATGATGAGTAAATTTGAACATATTTATTTTTGGGTCACTTGAGTCACCATGTGACATCACATGTAGATTTGCCTTTTTTTTAGTTACATCTACTTTAATTAAATATATATTTTGTTGTTGCTAATTTTAGTTACATCTACTTTAATTAAATATTATATATTTTGTTGTTGCTAACGACTACATTATTTTAACTAGGGTTGTGTATTTCCTATAATCTGGTGATGTGATACGTATCACGATACAGGGGCAATGATACCTAATATTGTGATATACTGCGATACTATATGATGGTATTTTCTTACACGCCTTGTTTTAACCTCTCCCTCATGACCCAGTGTTTGTCTAAAAGTGTGTTAGCATGAGGCTAATTTATTTGTCTCCTTGTCTCTCAGCCTTTCAGACAGAAGGGAAACTGTATTTAATACTCGACTTTCTCAGGGGAGGGGATGTATTCACTCGCTTATCCAAAGAGGTAAGATGATATTTTATTCCCTATTCCATCACTTTGTCATTTATTTTTTTTCAAGTGAAAACAGCTGTTTGTAAAGATCTGTTTAATGTAAACAGTAGGTGAAAAACTCTTTCACAACTGCCTCTGTCCACACAAGGCCAAACCAACTGTTTGCTCTCTCTTTTATGAGAGAACAAGGGCCTGATGGGTTGTGCAAAATATTTTTACAGCTCTTAAAGAATTTTATTTGCTGAGATAGAGAATCCAGGTACAAATGTCTGATTTAAAAACCACCCATAAAGACTGATGCAGCCCAGTACATTTGAAATATATACTGTATATTGTGGCCTTGAGTTCTAGTAGAAATACAGTAAACGTGTTCTGTTAGTGTTCAGCTCAGATCAGCTCTGTACAAACGCTGTCAGGGAACGCAGACAATATGTGATTGTTTTCTACAGAACCTTGTCTTGAACGCGCGGCTCAGTGCCCAATGAGCAGCTTCCTCTGACTCGTACTGTCTTGATGTCTTGATGTTGATGCTGTGACAACAATAATATTCTTGTTTTCTGTCTCTGTGGTGACCAAAGACTTAACACTGAAGCTGTGTCTGTTGTTCATGTGTTGCTTGAAATGTTCTCTTCTCCTGAGTTCAGAGAGTAAATGTGTCCAGTTCTTATCAGGTTATGTTTACAGAGGAAGATGTGAAATTCTACCTTGCAGAGCTGGCCCTGGCCCTCGACCATCTGCACAACTTGGGCATAGTTTACAGAGACCTCAAGCCAGAGAAGTACGACTCCAACCCGGCACAGCCACCATTCACTCTTGTACACTGTGAGATTAGGATTGGGATTATGAACACCATTATTTGTTCGGACAATATGCACATGTTAAAGGGTAGAACAAGTATTGCAATTTTTTTATGTCAATCTCAGCTAGGTACTTCTTTTTAGACATACAGTACGTGTTTTGTTTTGTAATTAGTACCAAAGTCGAGGACTTCCTGCCATCCCCGTATCCACACATTTAAAATTTAAAATTCCAATCATTTATTCCAGTTTAATAAATAAAATAAATAAATAAATAAAACTACAGCCATTAGAAAAAGTTACATTCTGAATTTTGTATTGAAAGAACACACTGATGCTCACATGCTGTGAATCTGCTTTGTTTTGCAGCATCTTATTGGATGAAGCTGGACACATAAAGTTAACAGGTGTGTTTGTCAACACTTTAATGGAATAGTTAATGTCGGGGGGGTGTTCATTCTGTTTATGTGTGTGCTTCAGTGTGTGTGTGTGAGTGGCAGTAGATGTGGTGTAATGATGTGTGTGTTTCTCCCTGTTGCTCTCTCTTACTGTGGTTACAGACTTTGGCTTGAGTAAAGAGTCAGTAGATGCTGACAAGAAGGCTTATTCCTTCTGTGGTACGGTGGAGTATATGGCCCCTGAGGTGGTCAACAGGAGAGGACACACACAGAGCGCAGACTGGTGGTCTCTGGGAGTACTGATGGTAGAGAAAAAAAATATAGCATTCATATTTTAAGGTTCTTAAATTAAAAAAAAAAGAAAGAAAGAATAGAAAGGAAAGAATAATTCATGTCTCTTTCTTTTTTTTTGTTCCTCCCTGACTGTGTTCACGCAGTTTGAGATGCTAACAGGGACATTACCATTCCAAGGCAAAGACCGCAACGAGACCATGAACATGATTCTAAAGTGAGTCATTATCTGCTGCGGGGTTAACGAACCTACAGCACGGAGGACGGCTGAATACAATGAGTAAATTAAAGTCAATTAAAGATCTTAATCCAAATTCACATTCTTTTTTTTTCTTTTTCTTTCCACAGAGCTAAGTTGGGAATGCCACAGTTCCTGAGTTTGGAAGCCCAGAGTTTACTAAGAATGTTGTTTAAACGGAACCCTGCAAACAGGCTAGGTGAGCAAGTTAAAATTAGAATAATCTAAAGAGAGAAAAAATGGAATTGTTTTACTGCAGTAACAGCCAAATGTGATATTATCAACATTTCCTTATTTTTTTAAATGTTTTCTTACATAATAATCACAAATCCTGTGAAACATGGAAAATGAGCAACAACTTGAGTTGCCCTGGGTAATTATTCCTCACCCCTGATATTAGTTTACGTGCATGTTAAGTTCAATAATGATTAATCACGATTAATCGTTGGTCAGCTCAGGTTAAATCGTTGCCTCTTTGTCAACCCTGGCAGGTGAAATAATTCCGAGCGACCTGTGTTTTTCAGGTGCGGGGCCTGATGGAGTAGAAGAGATCAAACGTCACGCCTTCTTCTCCACGATCGACTGGAATGTGAGCACGCACACACACACACACACACACACATGATGAGGGCCTACGCCTAATAAATGGTTGGATGGGTGACTGTAGGCCATCAGTCTGGTCCATGCCAGCCTGGTTGGTGTGTGTGTGGGTGTGTGTGTCTGGGCAGTGGGCCAGTTCTCACTGTGTGTGCAGTAATGGCCCTGCGTGAGTGTTAAAGAGCCAGCAGGATGCTTTTTAGCCGGGCTGAGCTGTGAAGGGATTGTGGGAGGGGAGGGGGGTTAATCTGGGAGGGGTCTTGGCTTCTGTTCCTCAGAAGTTCACACAGTCCAAATACGAAGCTCGTTACTGCCTCCATGTTTTTGGCCTCACGTTGGATGTGGAGACAGACTGGTGAATCACTGCATCTGTGTTGGTGATGAACCGACTGTGATTCTGTGACACAGACTGGACACTTTGATCACTTTGTTACTTTTTAAAGGACTTGCTTCCCTCAAATGACCTGGACGCTCGTCTCCACCCTCATCTAAATCACTGAAGAGTTCCCATAAACCTTCAGTCATTTAGAACTGGGTTTAGTTTTCAAACATTTGAATTTCTACCACATCTCAGGACTTTTTTTTAAGTTTTCTCTCCTCTAATATCTGCCTCTGTTCTGTCAGAACCTGTACAGGCGAGAACTTCAGCCTCCATTCAAGCCCGCAGCAGGGAAACCAGACGACACGTTCTGCTTCGACCCTGAGTTCACCGCTAAAACACCTAAAGGTAATCCTACACCTACGGTCGGATGGTACGGCCTGTTCTGTCGTACAGTGCAGAGCTGGCGCTCAGCTGAAGTTCTCTTTCTGCTGAGATGTGTAAAATAAAAATGAAGTAGTTCATCTGCTCATCTTCTCAGTTAGAATTCCGTATGTTTAGACTCCCCAGGTATCCCACCCAGCGCCAACGCCCACCAGCTCTTCAAAGGTTTCAGTTTTGTGGCTCCAACACCCATGGATGAGAACAAGAGCTCCCCGCTGCTCAGCATACTCCCCATAGTCCAGGTAAACACCTGTGTTCACCTGGTACGGTTACTGAGACGTCACGGTGATTTGTGATTAACGACGTTACGTTTCTTATAGATTGGATGTTAATGTGAAACGCTGACATGTGATGCTGGAACGTTTTGTTTCCAGATGCACGGGGGCTCGGCCAAATTCTGTGATCTGTACGAGCTGCAGGAGGACATAGGCGTCGGCTCTTACTCTATATGTAAACGCTGTGTACACCGAGTCTCTGCTGTGGACTATGCTGTGAAGGTAACAAAAAAAACGTACCTGGGGCTCGAACATCACTGCTGATTCAAGGCTATGGTTCTGTCTACAGTGTTATTTTTACACCTTGTGACTAAAGTCACTGTTGAGACAAACCCGTGGCTCACAGTCCAGTTGTGGGTTGCAGGGTCTAGTTAGTCCTCAGCTGAGTGATGAGGATTTTTAAACTCATATTAAGTCCTGCTGTAATAAGTAGTTGTTTTTTATGTAAATCGTTGTACCAGTATCACCAGAAGAGGGCAGCAGATCTTCATGATCCAATTTTTTCAGTATCTACATAATCTGATCACTGTGCTTTGACACACATCATCAGATTATTATTCTGGTCCTAATTTTCAGTATCTACATAATCTGATCACTGCTTTGACACACATCATCAGATTATATTCTGGTCCTAACGAGTGTAATCTCTGTGTCACAGATCATAGACAAGAGTAAGAGAGACCCGTCGGAAGAGATCGAAATCCTGATGCGATACGGACAGCATCCCAACATCATCACGCTGAAGGACGTCAGTAACGTCTCTGGGAGAACTCCACTAATACGGGGGTGTTTGGAGGAGACCGTTAGCATGCTGACAGCGTGTGTGTGTGTGTGTTTTGTGTGTGACTCAGGTGTATGACGAGGGCAGGTACGTTTACCTGGTGACGGAGCTGATGAAGGGCGGAGAGCTGCTGGACAAAATCCTCAGGCAGAAGTTCTTTTCTGAACGAGAAGCCAGCGCTGTCCTGTACACCATCGCTAAGACTGTTGACTACCTCCACTGTCAAGGGGTGAGGGAACTCTCCTGCAGCACGACGGGGGCAGGTTTGAAGTACTCACATACTTCATAGTGTACTTGACTCTCTGCCTCCACAGGTGGTACACCGAGACCTGAAGCCTAGTAATATCCTCTACATGGACGATTCAGGAAATCCTGACTCGATTAGAATCTGTGACTTTGGGTTTGCAAAGCAGCTAAGGGGGGGCAACGGCCTCCTGCTCACCCCCTGTTACACCGCCAACTTCGTGGCACCAGAGGTGAGACGAGACAAATATTAAAAAAAAAAAAAATACTACAAGAAAAACAAAGCGGTAAATTACAAGTGAGTAAATATATTATGTGTATGTATTTATTTATTTATGTGTGTGCGTCTAGGTACTAATGCGCCAAGGTTATGATGCAGCCTGTGATATATGGAGTCTGGGAGTTCTACTGTACACTATGCTGGCAGGGTGAGAGCACTCACACAACAATCTCCCAAAAGGATTTAAATAATATATAAAATATATATAATACATATATATATATATAAAAATATGTATATATGTGTGTGTGTATATATATATACATATATGTGCATATGTACAGTATATATACACATATGTCTATATATATATATACATATATGTCTATATATGTATACATATGCACATATACTGTATACATATGTGTGCATATATATATATATAGACATATATGTGTATATATATATGTATATATATATACATGCACATATATATATGTGTATATATATATATATATATTTAATTAGTCCAAAAGTGCCGTATGTACAGGGCAGCTGTAGAACAGAACAGTAAAGGTGTGTGCGGTTCTCACCGTCCTCTACTCTCAGGTACACGCCGTTTGCTAACGGGCCAAACGACACACCAGAGGAAATTCTACTGCGGATAGGATCTGGAAAGTTTTCATTGACGGGTGGAAACTGGGACTCTGTATCAGACAGTTCCAAGGTACACGCGCGCTGACGTCGTTCCTGTTTCCTCATGTTTACGTCAGCTGGTCAGATGGCGTTGAGTGACACCTCCCTGACTGTGTGTTTGTCTTGGCACCAGGACCTCCTGTCCCATATGCTCCACGTGGATCCTCACCAGCGATACACAGCAGAACAGGTTCTGAAGCATTCCTGGATCACCTGCAGAGACGCCCTCCCGCACTTCCAGCTCACGCGGCATGATGCGCCCCATCTGGTCAAGGTGAGGAAGTGGCACTCTTTGTCCTTTAGAAAGACACGGGTGGGGGTGGTGGTGTGGGGGTCACAACAAAGAACAATAAAGGATTCAGTATTCCATCTCTGGCTGGTTTTTTAAAAAACATGCACTCAGCACCCCCTAGTGGATTCGTGAAGATACTGTACCCTACCTTAATACCCAGTTTAGGGTCTTGATGTTCTCAGTCTGCTCATGTTTGTTGAATTATATTCAT